TATTTCTTAATATAAGATGGAAGAGAGAGAGAGAGAGAGAGAGAGAGAGAGAGCGAGAGAGAGAGAGAGAGAGAGAAGCCTTTGACTCACTTTCTGGATTACTTGGGCCCGAGAAGTCTTTCTTAAGCTTCAAGTAATCCTCATCCGTTTAAAATACTTCAACCATCTTCCATCGTTCAATGCTTTTCCTACGCAGTCGCTTTTAAGATGAAAGAGAGAGAGAGTCAAGCCTTTGACTCGCTTTCCCGATTACTTGGGCCCGAGAAGTCTTTCTTAAGCTTCGAGTAATCGTCATCCGATCCACTTACTCGAACCATATTCAAATTCCTTCACCGTTAAGGATGAAAAAGAGAGAGAGTCAAGCCTTTGACTCGCTTTCCCGATTACTTGGGCCCGAGGAGCCTTTCTTAAGCCTTAAGTAATCGTCATCCGTTTAACTTAATCGAACTATATTCAACTCTTACACATTTAAGATGGAGAAGAGAGAGGGTCAAGCCTTTGACTCGCTTTCCCGATTACTTAGGCCCGAGAAACCTTTCTTAAGCTTCAAGTAATTGTCATCCGATCAGTTTTACTCAAACCATATCCATTCTTTTTTCGTTAAGGGTGAAAAAGAGAGAGAGTCAAGCCTTTGACTCGCTTTCCCGATTACTTGGGCCCGAGGAGCCTTTCTTAAGCTTCAGGTAATCATCACCTCTAGCTAAACATTCGATACTTTAACCCCGTTTCCTCGCCCCTGTGCGACCAAAACCCTAAAACCTATTCAAATCTATTCTCGTCTTCAAACCTAAACATAACCTCATTAATTCAATTTCTCGTCGCCGTGCGAAATGTCAAACTTTTTCATAAACGTGAGATATGGTGTCTTAAGAACGACATAAAATATTGCTTCGTCAGTAACCTATTTGAGTCGAGAGAAGTGGCGTGTTTCCCATGAATGTCGATATATGGAAATCCATTCAAAGCGATACAAGCGCCCTCTCCTCGCCCATTTGGATAAAGCAATATTTTCTTTCGAATACGACTAAGTATATGTCTCTAAATCAAACCAACATCCGTAGTTCGAACTACGGACGCTCTGATTTCTCGTCTGTTAACGAGAATACGTAGGCATAGGATTGTGAGATCCTAGCGAGCAACCTCTTTCTTTTTCTATCCAAACCTTTACCCGTGGCAGTCCGAACTACGGACGCTCTGATTTCTCATTTGTCAATGAGAATACGTAGGTACAAGATTGTGATGATCTTGGCGAGCACATTTCCCCAAAAATCACAATTCCTCAACCTTCTCTTTTTTTCTCCCGTAGTCCCACGAACTACAAACGTGTTGATTCTTCACTTACTTCGAGTGAAAATACATAGGCACAAGGGACTCAATCCTTGGCGAGCACTCTAATCTAAAACCACCCATTTCTCCTTAGCAATCTAAACTCTTTTATATTACCTTTACACCTTTTATCTTGGAAGAAAACAAACAAACTAGGCTAACATTTCTTACTAATCGAATCAAGAGGTTCCCGTTGAGTACAACGAACGTGAGGGGTGCTAATACCTTCCCCTCATGTAACCGACTCCCGAACCTAGAACTTGGTCGCGATGACCATGTTCTTTCCCTAATGGTTTTATCGATATTTTCCTATTCCATCTTAGAATGAATAAAGTTCGGTGGCGACTATGTGTTTTCCGCGACCATTCGCGAAGGATCGTGCTTTTTCGAGGTACGGCACTAGGTTCTCGGTCTTCATGGTATTAAAAGATTCATAGGTTCGAGATCAGTTCGGTGTCAACAAGATCGGGCACAACTTCATCTCACCCTTCGAAAAGAGTGGTCACCTCGCCCTTAGAAAAGAATGGACACTTATGCTTGAGGGTTTGTGTATAACTTAATCTATCCCATAAATCATTTCATCCTTATAGATCTCATGCTTAAGGAACTGTGTACAATCTGGATTTTCCCATAAAGTATTTCACCCTTACATGTCTTATGCTTGAGGTATTATGTATAATTTGGTTTTTTCCCATAAAACATTGCACCCTTGCGAGCCTCGTGTTTGAGGGACTATGTACAATCTGGTAGTTTAGGCCATACCTCAACCCGAAGTCGGAAGAGCTCGCCCTGATTTCTAACATGTTTAACAAGGCATGGCCAAGCTAAACCAACTAACGATCTAAGTCGATACCTAGTACCAACTTGGAGGGGTTATTCAAATTAGGGGATGAGGGGATAATAAATTTATGAGTGAATTAGGGACATTATGACTGAAAAATATGGCATTAAGAACCACCATTAAGATCCATTAAAAGGATACAATATTCTTAAATAGTTGTTATGAATATTAAATATGAAGAATATCAAGACCCCTAGATAAATCATGAAATCATATAAGAAATCACAGTTTTCATACCATTCAAATCCACATGTGTGATTTTTACTAGCTTCACGCTGATGGAATTATCAATTAATGTACTTTTTGTGTATAATTATTTCATATTAATTTATTTAAATTTAAATGAATTTGGCATGAAGGAGGATACAAGCATCTACTAAAGAAATTATCTATAAACAAACCATAAATAAAAATTAAGGAAAATTACACTCACCTAGACTTGTTAAAATGACACCAGCACCCATCTAATTTTAAAATATGAATTAATCTCATCTAAGTTTACATATAGAAATAAATTTTTTTAATGATAAAAAAAATACAAGTAAATGTCATCTACACCTTTCACTAAAAACTAAAGGAGTGGAGGTGGGTTGGAAGCCACCAGAGAGGGAGTGGGTGAGGCGCAACACTGATGGAGCTTGCTTAGGTGGTAAAGAGGTAGGATACATAGGCATAATAAGAACCACAAATAGTGAGTGTGTAGGAGGTTTTCCCAAGCATCTTGGTAGCTGCAATGTGGTGAAGGAGGAACTTTGGGGAGTGTATGAAAGGATTAAGCTTGCTATGGAGATGAGATTTTCAAAAGTAGATTTACAATTTGATTCCAGCACGATCGTTGGCTTGATAAAAATCAAGCAATAATTTGGGCATTGATAGTTTTCCTTGTTAAAACATATCTGATGTCTTCTAGATAGGATTTGAAAGGTTAAAATATCTCACTCATATACAGAAGGCAACCGTTGTGCAGATGCTTTGACAAAGTATGAGGCTACTAGTGGAAAAGATTTGAGACTTCGTGAAGATTATCCAGAGATTATTAGGCACCATGTTCATTATGATATTCCAGGATCCTCAATCTCGAGGTTAATTTTGTTGTAGTTTTCTGTTTTGGGGCCTCAACCTTCCATACTACCAAAAAAAACTAAAGGAGTAGTGTAGTGTCATTTTAATAATCATCTACTAAAGTTGATGCATATTTTATTAAAAGAAAATGAGTGATTCTATAAATTAATTTTACACTGTCAACCAATAACGATCATGTATCCCGCTAAATCAGACTGAAAATTTTAAACTACTCATATGACATGACAAAATGATATATTCCTATTGGGTGATAGTATAAAACTTTTTTTTACACTGACAGTGGATCCAGAGTTATCGACCGCGACTACAAACGGTGCGATCCTAGGAAGTCTGGTCGGAGAGGCCACCCACCACGTGAGAAGAATGGGGCGGAGCGCCGTTTGAAATCATGGGCGATATCTCCGCAAACGCGAGTCGCGTGATACACCCTGGGCGGAGCGGTTTATCTACTTTTATTTTCTTTCCTCTGTTTGATGTACGAAATACGAAAATACATATGAGAATGGAAGAAGATGAAGTCATTGAGTGGGAAAGAAGATGAAGTCGTGGGGTGGGGAAGGAGATGAAGTCGTGGGACGGGGAAGAAGATGTTGCCGCCCCTTTTTATTTGGGTTTTTAAGAGAAAAACCCTAATAATTAAATTGGATCTAGATCTAAATCTAGTTAGAATTTGAAGAGATGATAATCGTTGGATGAGAAAGGCTGATATTCTCTAATTCCCATGATATTCTCAAGAAAAAAATATTTCAGTTCCCATGATATTCTCAAAAGAAAAAACTGTTCCAATTCCTTTTTCTCTTTCTCTCATTATCTTTCGTTATTACTTATATCTGCGTTCATGTTAGACTTTAAATGTGCCAAAAGAGAAAATTTTTAATTATTTTTCTTACAATTATTATTATCATCATCCAATTTTTTATCCTCTATAATTTTTATTATTTTAGATCTTTTTTTTTTTTATATATCATGTCATCTCTCATTTTTCTAATCTAACGGTTCAAAATTTATAATGAATAATTAAATAAAAAAAAGTCATTTAATAGGAGAGAGAAATGGATAAGTAATTTGTCTTTGTTATTTAATTATTAAATGACTTTTTTTATTTAATTATTCATTATAAATTCTGAACCGTTAGATTAGAAACATGAGAGATGGCATGATATATAAAAAAGGAGAGGATCCAAATCCAAAATTATGTATATGTATGTAACTTTTTAATTAATATAATTAGGGTAATGCTAACTTGTGCCCCAAGGACACAGGTTAAAAAACCCACAAATAAAAAATATGTATGAAAAAAAACAATAAAATCATTAATTATAAGGCTTTATTAAATTTATTATACAATTTTGAAGAATTATTTTCTATATTTATCTCTTAACTTGTGTCTCAATGACACAAGTTAGCATTACCCGTATAATTAATCTAAAAATTTATAAATTGTTGGCTTCTTTTAAACCCTTTTAATAAACATCAATTACATATTACTAATAAAAGTAGGCGAAATTTCCCCTAAAAATAAAAATGAATGACAAATTCAAAGAAAAAGAAAGGAGAAAAACCAGTTTTCACCAAACAACAGGTGTATCCTATGAAAGTGGCACGAGTTTCAAACCCACAACCACTCTCATAGTCAAACACGAGAACATGTTATTCTACGATCATAAATAAAGTACCAATCATCTCTATACAACGTTATCTCTCTCTATCTTCCTTACCAAAGTTACCACCATTCTTCAAACCAACTTCAATGGCTTCGATGACACATCCTTCCCTTGAAGACACTGATTTTTCAGAAACCATCAAATTCATAAGCCAAATTCTTATGGAAGAAAACGTTGATCACACGCCATTTTATGACTCACTAACCTTACAAATCACAGAAAAATCATTCTATGATGCTCTCTTACACCAAAATAAACCTCTCTCCCCTAATCATCACCCCTTACATATTCATAATCCTAATGGCAGAACTAGTAGTCTCACTGATGGACTCATCGATTTCGATTCTGTTTCCCTATTCAAGAGAGGTTTAGAAGAAGCCAACAAGTTTCTTCCTCCTCAGCCTCAACTTTCCACCGGTCTAGACTCATCCAATTTCAATATGAATAGAGAGAAAGAGAATCCATTTGTGCTGAAGAGTAGAAAGAATCACGAGCGCGAAGAAGAAGGGAGGAGAAGTAACAAGCAGTCAGCTATTAGTGTTGTTGATGAAGATGAATTATCAGAAATGTTCGATAAAGTTTTGCTTAATGTCGAACAAGATTGCTTGCAGAATGAGCAACCATCTTCATCTGATGGAGGAAAGGTTGATTTAAGGAGTCTTCTGCTTATGTGTTCACAAGCTATGTATGGAAATGACAATAGAAATGCTAATGAAATTCTGAAGCAGATTAGGCAACATTCTTCGCCCTTTGGAGATGCATCACAAAGGATGGCACATTACGTCACTAATGGCCTTGAGGCGCGTCTTGTAGGCGATGGAGCCGGTGCACAGACATTCTATTCCGCGCCGAGCACCAACCGGATCACTGCTGCTGAGTTTTTGAAAGCATACCAAGTTCATTTTACTAGCCCTCCGTTCAAAAAATTTGCTTACTTATTTGCAAATGAAATGATTATGAAAGTTGCTGCAAAGGCGGAAACCCTTCATATTATTGATTTTGGTATCCTTTATGGTTTTCAATGGCCAATTCTTATTAAGTTTCTATCAAATAGAGAAGGTGGACCTCCAAAGCTGAGGATCACGGGGATAGAGTTTCCCTTACCCGGCTTTCGCCCGACAGAAAGAAATGAGGAGACTGGTCGTCGCCTTGCCAACTATTGCAAGCGTTTCAATGTTCCGTTTGAGTACAATGCCATAGCATCACGGAACTGGGAAGCAATTCGAGTTGAAGATCTTAAAATCAAAACCAACGAGGTAATCGCAGTGAACTGTTTGACGAGGTTTAAAAATTTACTAGATGAGAGTATTGATGAGAACAGTCCTAGAAATGCGGTTCTGAACTTGATCAGGAAGATAAATCCGAGCATTTTTACTCTGTCCATTATTAATGGATCATATAATTCACCGTTCTTTGCTACACGGTTTAGGGAGGCATTGTTTCATTTTTCTGCTGTTTATGATTTGATCGGCACTGTCGTACCAAGGGAAAACGAATGGAGGATGATGATTGAGAGAGAAATCATGGGTAGAGAAGTTATGAATGTTGTAGCATGTGAAGGTTTAGAGAGAGTTGAGAGGCCTGAGACATACAAACAATGGCAAGTTAGGATTACAAAGGCAGGTTTCAAGCAGCTTCCACTGGATTCAGAATTAATGGACAAATTTAGGACTAAGATGAGAAAATGGTATCATAAAGATTTTGTTTTTGATGAAGACAACAATTGGATGCTTCAAGGTTGGAAAGGTCGCATTTTATATGCTTCAACTTGTTTGGTTCCTGCATAATCAACTTGCTTCATACTATTAGACTTATGGTGTGAGTGTCACTATAAGAATCAGTTGTAGATCATGTGTAATTAGATATTTTTATCAGATTATGTGATTTCTGTTGTAAATTGTGTTTACTATTTGGTTTTAAGTTGATTTTGGATTAATACATGATTATAGACCAGTCTTAAAAATGTTATGTTGATTATGTTTGACCCGGTACCAGTAATAAAATTGATTATGTATGAGTCTAGTTATGTTTGTGCCTGAGATATTTACAAAATAATCACACAATTTCTCTAATGATTCAGAACTGATCATGAAGTTTGTTCATGTATAAATTGGTACTGATTTACATTCTCATGCATTTTTTTCTCCATTTTAAGCATCACAATCTCTTCTATTTTATCAAATTTTTGTCTAAAGTCACTCTACCTTTCTCGTCTAAAAGTTAGAGGATCATTGTCCTCTATAAGCTAGAAAACAATAAAAATGGTGTTAATGAGCACTTAAAATAGAAACACAAGCTTTCAATATACAAAAAAAAAGAAGAACAAGCTTCTAAAGAGATAGCAATATAAGCTAAACGTTACAACATACATGGTTATAGAGTAAAAAGCTACAACTGATTTTAAGAACAACACTGACACCATAAGTCTAATATGAAGTATGTTGATTATGCAGGCACCCAACAAGTTGAAGCGTACAAAATGCGACCTTTCCAACCTTGAAGCATCCAATTGTTGTCTTCATCAAAAACAAAATCTTTATGATACCATTTCCTCAACTTTGTTCTAAATTTGTCCATTAATTTTGGATCCAATGGAAGCTGCTTGAAACCAGCCCTTGTATTCCTAGCCTGCCATTGTTTGTATGTCTCAGGCCTCTCAACTCTCTCTAAGCCTTCACATGCTACGACATTCATAACCTCCCTTGCCACAGTTTCCTTCTCCATCATCATCCTGTATCTGTTTTCCCGCGGTATTACAGTGTCGTAATTATCAAAAATAGCAGAAAAATGAAAAAGTGCTTCCCTAAAACGTGTAGCAAAGAAAGGCGAATTGTATGATCCATTGACAATGGACTGAACAAAAATTACTGGATTTATCTTCCTGATCAAATGAAGAACCGCATTTCTAGGACTGTTCGCTTCAATAGTCTCGTCCAGTAAATTCTTAAACCTCATCAAAGAGTTCACAACAACTACCTCATTGCTCTTGATTTTAAGATCTTCGACTTGAATTGTTTCCCAATTCCGCGATGCTATGGCGTTAAACTCAAAGGGAACATTGAAACGTTTGCAATAGTTGGCAAGACGACGACCAGTTTCCTCAATTCTTTCCATTGGACGAAAGCCGGGTAAAGGGAACTCTATCCCGGTGATCTTCAGTTTTGGAGGTCCACCTTCTGTATCTGATAAAAACTTAATAAGTATTGGCCACTGAAAACCATAAAGGATACCAAAATCAATTATATGAAGGGTTTCAGCATTTGCAGCAGCTTTGATAATCGCTTTAATTGCAAAGAAGTATGCAAACTTTTTGAATGGGCTAGTAGATAGATGAACTTGATATGCTTTCAGAAACTCAGCAGTGCTAATCCTCTTGGAGCTCTCCGAGAAAAAGAATGTTTGTGCCTTATTACCATTACCGACAAGGCGTGCCTCAAGGCCATTGGCAAAGTAATGAGCCAGCCTCTGTGATGCATCCCCAAAGGGTGAAGAATGTTGCCTAATCTGCTTCAGAAGTTCATAAGCATTTCTGTTGTCATAAGCATACACAGATTGTGAACACAGAAGCAGAAGATTCCTTAAATCTATGGTCTCATTCTTCTTGCTTTGTTTCTTAGTCCGAGCCTTTCCTCCATTCGATGGAGATGACTGCTCCTTTTTCACTTGTCCATTCGGTAAGCTATCATTTTCATTGCAAAGTGGCAAATGCTCCACACTAAGCAAAACTTTATCAAATATCTCTGATAATTCATCTTCGTCAACAACACTAATTGCTGATTGCTTGTTCCTTCTCCTATCTTCTTCTTCTTCTTCTTCTTTACCATCACTTTCTTCGCGCTCGTGATTCTTTCTACCCTTTAACACAAGCGAATTCTCTTTCTCTCCAACCATATTGAAATTGGAGGATTCTAGACCAGTCACGAGCTTAGGCTGCGGAGGAAGAAACTTGTTGGCTTCTTCTAAACCTTTCCTGAATAGGGAAACTGAATCTGCATCACTGAAAATGTTCTGCGCCAACAGATTGGTAATAGAAGAATCCAAATCTCTGAGTCCATCACTAACACTAGTAGTCTGAGGTTGAGAGGAAGTGTGAGAAATAGCCGAGGAATTAAACTGAAAAACATTATTCCTAAGATCCGAAACAGGAGTTTCGGGAGAAAGGGGTTTTGACTCTCGAGAATCATCAATACTGCTATTACTATTACTATTACTATTACTGGTGCTGGTGCTGGTGCTTCCATCAGAGTTATGAATATCTAAAGGGTGTTGATTGGGGGAAAGAGGTTTGTTCTCGTGTAAGAGAACATCATTGAATGATTTCTCAGTAATTTGCAAAAGCGGGTCATAAAATGGTCTCTTGTCAACATCCTCTTCCATAAGGATTTGGCTTATGAACTTGAGTGTATCTGAAAAATCAGTGTCTTCAAGGGAAGGATCTGTCCCAGAAGCAATAGAAGAACCTTGTATAGGAATGGTGTTGGATGAAAAATCAAGTGAATCAGCATCAAGGAAACTATCATATTGGTTTGGATCAGCGTCAAGAAAGTTATCATATTCATTTGGATCAGACTCAGAGACCACTATGCTTCCTTCTTCATCAAAGTGGTAGTAGCCCTTTGTGAAATTGTTAGCTTCAGGAAAGTTTGGATCCATCTTTTCTTTTCTGTTTGTTCAGAAACAGTAATGAAAAGCAAAGCATGAACATGTATAACATGAAACAGCGAGTATAAAATAATATGATATGATTTTTACATAATAAGGTTTGAATTGAACTAACCTGAATTGTTGCTTGATTCAAGACAAGGGTTGGATAAGGTTTGGAGATACAACATAGAGATGCTCAATCTTATAGAGAAGCAGCCTCTTTGACTAAAGCACATATAGTCTCTTTTGACTAAAGTATACAATAGTAGGTATAAATATAGGAATCTTCGAAGAAATTGGATATTGGCACTGTTGCCAAATGAAAAAACATAGGTGGACACAAAATAATACTATAATACATAGGAAAAGTACAGTCTCGATCAAGTGAATTTAGATGTGATAGACACAATTCTATGGTTGGTGTTGCTTGTTTGCCAAGCTCGAACTTTCTTCTTCTCCAAGTATTCAAAGAGTGAGTCAAGTCTCAAATTATTTGTCAGATTTATTTGAAGGAGGAAGCATCTAGATATCCTTACAAATTCAATGGTTTGGTACACTCATTTCTTTTAGCGATAAGTAATTTGACTTTTCAAGTCCATAACAATTTAGGGATAAATAAGAAATATTTATATTTAAGGTCTATGATGCATAAATACGGGTACGTACCCGGTACAAGATATGACATTTTAAAAAAAAAAATCAAAGTACGGCTACGTTAATAAGAAATACGATTTTCTTATAAAATATATGAGTAGAAAACTAAATTGTTAAGTTTATAATAAAGTATAACTATAAAAAATTTTAAAAATAAATAATAATAATAAGATACAATAACAAAAAAAAGTTAAAACACATAATTATATAATATTGATATTTGAAAAAACTATAAATTTCATTCAAAATTGAATAATGAAATAAAATAAAATACCACGATTACAGGTCGAATACTTGTCACCAATACTTCACCATTTTAGAAGTACCCATGCTATATATATATATATATATATATATATATATATATATATATATATATATATATATATATATATATATATATATATATATATATATATATATATATATATATATATATATATATATTAGGAAAGATGATAGAACATAAATTTCTATAGTTTTAGTATATAGATAGAAAGATTTTAAAATTTGCAATAAAAATAATAAATTAGATAGAGATGAGTCAAACAACTAAAAGTAAAAGAAAGTCTAAAAAAAACTTTATTAATAACAATTTGAAACAGTTGATAATGTTTGGCTCTTGTTTGTTGTTGTAATATCTTTAATGAATAAAACTATTTTCAATGAAGGAAACCTATAGAAAAAAACATATTTTCACCATCTTTGATTAAGTACAGTTTAGATTGGATCAGTTTTTTAGTTTTACCAATGCATAATTAAATAATTTGAAACATATTAAGGACTCAATAACATATTTTGTCTCCAATGTTACAATGTCAAAATGTCAAAAGCTATCTCCAACCTCTTTAATCTTCAAAGTTATAATGCCAAAAACATTTTCATCAAATATTTTATGGAATTATTAGAGTCTGGTTAACCGGTTGTGTCATAAAGAAGAAGAGCACAAGTTAAGAAATTCTAAAATAGAAAATTTGTGTAAAAAAAAAAACACAAGTTCTAAACTTCTAAAAATGTCACTGCAAAATTTTCTAAGGAAATTTCTACATTTATTCTTAACTTTTATTCCCTTAACTTGTAACTTAAGACATTTTATCAAGTACCGAAAAAAGTCCTCTCCCAAACAAAGCTTTCTATTCTAACCAACAATAAATTAAGAGACATTTTCCCGAACATCTAAGAGGCATTATTCAAACACCAAAAACAACCATCTCTAAAACATAACCTTCTATTTAAAGAAACAACAAACTAACATACACTTTATCAAATGACCAAAAAGAAATTACTTCAAACTATCACAGATGAATAAAATATAACCAGAAAAGTTTTCAAGTTTACCTTGGACCTCTAAAGACGTTGTAGTCAGCAACTCTTCGATACCACTAGTTACAATGTGAATTTTAGAAGAATGAAATACATATCAGGCTGGTAATATAGAGTTGGTGATATAAATTCAGATATTTAATTATAATTCACCAAAATGGAAGATTTTGCAAAAACAAGGAATGAAAGTTGGTGAATGCATGAGATAGGGATGCCAACAATAATGAAGCACAAAAAATTGGTATAAGTTATGGATGACACTTCCTGTGGATAAAAAAGGAAAGGAATACAAGGAAGAAGTGTGACTGTTATCCAACAATAACTGCCTCATCCGACAACGAATTACAAGAATCGATTTGCAATGATCGTAAAAAGCTAGGAATATTGGCTTCAGTTGAAATTGATGTTGGGTTGCTGGAACTGATTTTACTTCAATCAACTAACCACCATTTAGAAAAGAAAACCCGTGTGTCACCCATTGCAACACATATCCTAACATATACTTGGTAGAAAATATATCATGGTAGCTCAATTTTAACCCTACACACAGGAAAAGTTCAATATGCATCTAAATACGACATTCACATAGCGTTCGTTTATATTATACAACACACTTAACAAAATTAAAATGTTGTTGGTACTACAACTGACCAGCTCTATACCATTTCATTGGCAGGGGTCAGTTCTAGAATATGTCAACCATATAACTACTAAGAAGTTAAAGTTATGTTTGCCAGATTCTTGCTACATACTCAAGAAATGCTTTTCCTAAACTCCCCGAGAAGGTCTATGCAGGTACCCAACAGGAGGAAGCATAAACTATTCGGCCCTTCCAACCTTGCAGCATGCAGTTTCCATCTTCAACGAGCATGAAATCACTATGGTACACATCTTTCAACTTGCATCTTAACTTGTTAATGAGATGTTTATCCAAGGGCAGTTGCTTAAATCCAGCCCTTATGTTCCGAACCTGCCATTGCTTGTATGTCTCTGGCCTCTCAACCCTCTCAGAACCTTCACAAGCTATAGTATTCATTACCTCCCGCCCACAGAACTCTTTCTCATACATCAACCTCATTGGATCTTCACGAGCAACATTGATGTCAAGCACATCAAACATTGTAGAGTAATGGAAAAGAGCCTCCTTGAACCGTGTCACGAAGAATGGAGCATTATAGCTCCCATTGACAGTAGTATGAATAAAGATATTGGGATTTGAATTCCTAATTAATTTTAAAACAGCATCCCTGGGACTATTCAGCACAACTGTCTCATCAAGTAGATTTTTAAACCGACATATACAATTCGCAACAAGAAGTTCATTTTTCTGTATCTTCAAGTCCTCCACTTTGATGGTTTCCCATTTTTGTGCAATAGCATTGAACTCAAATGGAACATTAAAACGTTCACAATATCTTGCCAGGCGAAGCCCTGTCTCCTGAACTCTCTCCGCAGGCCTGAAGCCAGGTTGAGGGAGCTCTATCCCAGTCATGCGCAGCTTAGGAGGCCCACCAGGCCGTTTTGATAGACGATATATAAGGGCAGGCCATTGGAAGCCGTAACGGATGCCAAAATCTACAATGTGAAGAGTTTCTACTTCCTTGGCTAGATTCAAAATTGTATGATTTGCAAAAATGATTGCAAGCTTCTTGAATGGACAGGCCGAAATAAACATTTGGTAAGCTTTCACCATGTCAGCGGAAGAGTTTCTTTTGGAGTATAAAGCAGTATAAATCTGAGTGCCCGTGCCAGACAAGCGAGCCTCAAGGGCATTTGCAAAGCAATGAGCCATCCTCTGAGATCCATCACCAAGTGGAGAAGAGTGTTGTCTTATCTGCTTTAATAATTCCTTAGCAGTCACACGATCATCAGAAGAAACAGATTGTGCACAACGAATCAACATTGTTCTCAGGTCCACAACACCTTTCTTGTTACCTTGTTTCTTACCACGGCCCTTTCCACCACCAGAACTGTTCGCTTCTTCTTTCTGCTGCAAACTCGTGTCTAGTCCATTAGGCCTCACTTCCTTACTATCACACATAGGAGCTCCCTCCTTCCCACACCCTGTGCCCAGCAGCACCTTATCAAATAACTCTGATAACTCACTGTCATCAATGTAAACAGCTGACTGCTTATTGCTTCTCTCATCTTGTAAATCCGTTTCATCTCCCCGCTCGTGATTTTTCCTCCCCCTCGCCTCAGCAGAAAAATGTTCCCCTTCATTACTCTCCGCCTTAACAACTACCTCCTGAGAAACCTTCCTAAAAGAAGGGATAAAAGAGTTGTTCTTCTCCATGTCAATAACCAAGGGATTCCCTTTAGGAAGAAACTTATTAGCTTCCTCCACACCCCTCTCAAATTGCAGTACAGACTCACTCTTACCTAGCAAATTTGAATCAGAAAATCCATCCTTAGAACTAACTAAAAATCCATTATTCGCTAAACCGAAATTGCTACTACTAGTCCCATTCATTGAACTAGCTTGAAAAACAAAATCAGAAGGAAATGTGGTTTGCAATATTGAAGGCTTGTACTCCGAAACATCAAAATTTCTCCAATACGATTCAAACTCAACAGAACTACTACCACTAGTACAACTAGTACTAGTAGTGGTACCACAATTGCTATAGCTACTGAAATTACTGTTAAGACTATCCTCAGGACTCTCCACATTGTAACGATTTTGAACAGAAGCATAAGAAGAAGAAGAAGGGTATGTCTCACCAATGACTTCATAGAACGATTTCTCAGCAGCTTGTAGAGCCAATGGATCGTGAAACATACATGGTTTCTTCTCCATGTCTTCTTCCATGAGCATTTGATTTATGTAACGCAGAACAGTAGCAGAGAAATCAGTCTCATCCAAAGGTGAATCTTCTTCCGCGTTAGTTATGGTGGAGATTGAAGTGTTGTTTGGATCAGGTGGTGGAAGAAGAAAAAGATCATCTATAAATCCAAAAGTGTGATCGTCTGAATCGATTGAATTGGGAATATGGTTGAATTTGAAACCGTTGGTGTAAGGAGGATCCATTTTGTTCATCAATCATCAAGTTTGTAAGAAACCCTAGGGTTGAGTGATTTGGGGGTGACTTTGAGGGAATAAGAATAAAAGTGAAGATTGGAAGAAAGAAAGAAAAATGAAAAGTAATAATGATTGATTTAGAAGAGGAGAAGACATAGAAAAGTGAGATATTATAAATTTGATTCCGTTATGGAATAAAGTTAGTGGTTAGAGCATTAACAAGAAAGAGTCAGTGGGTCATGGTCAGAACGGTGACAATGTGACCCCTAGTCAACTTCAATTTGGTTCAAGCATATCGGTAGAAATAGGCCGAGTTGAAATAGACTTTATTAAACTTGAGTTTTTTTAAAAAAAATTTAAAGTCTAACTCTCACATGTAATTTATCATAAGTTTATTTTTAGGTCTAAGTATGATCTTTTTAAATGTCTGAATGTCCTACTAACTTATTTAAAAACATATTCATTTAAATATTTATAAATAAAAAATTGGATTTGAATCCTTTCCTTTTTTTATATATATCATGTCATTTCTCATGTTTCTAATATAACGTTTCAGAATTTATAATGAATAATTAAATAAAAAAAGTTATTTAATAGGATAGAGAAATGAATAAATAATTTGTCTTTATTTTTTTATTTAATTATTCATTATAAATTATAAACAGTTAGATTAAAAACATGAGAGATGACGTGATATATAAAAAAGGAGAGGATCCAAATCCTAAGAAATTCAATAAATATTAAATAGACTAACAAATTAAAATATCATTGAGACTAAATATCTATTTTCATTGTCTTATTCAAATTTACGTATTAACATGAGTTTGGTGACACTATTTGTTAGAAATAACTTATGGAAAAAAAAAAAACTTATAGCAACAACTTAAAATATTGTTTATAATGTTTTTTCAATTTATTTTCATAAGTTATTCAAAATAATTAAATTTTATTTTTATATTTTAATTCAAAGTACAAAATATAATATAATAATAATAAATATATTGTATTTTTCATAAATAGGTCAGTCTGATAGGTTTAAAAGATTTTTCTTATCTTCTATAGCCTAACTTTTTTAGCTAAATAGATTTATAAAAAAAAACCTAGGCATTTTTTATTTAAGAAAAAAAATGGATGACTTGAATCTATGTATGTTAGATCGTAGATTCCCTGTTAGTTGGTCTGAATTATTCCAACTCCTATTTATGGGATCAGTTTTTATAGACTCACTACAAATTTATGGCTACTCCTATTACTCTACTACTATTACTATTTTATTTTATTTTTTACCATAGATAAAAGGAAAACAAATTACAAAAAAAAAAAGACAATAGATAGAATTTAAAGGTGACAAAATAGATTGGACCTTAACTCATATTAAAAAAAGGACATAGGGGATTTTGCTTGTGAATTTATCTTTTAACAACATTTTTTATTTAGAAAGGAAATTAGGCAATGCATTGAGCATTTTTTATTTAGAAAGAAAATTAGGCAATGCATTGAGGCGGTCAATACGTTAATTTTTTTTCTTTCTATCGATAAAAAATGAAATTTAAATGATTAAGTCTAATGTTATCATGAATTGAAAATTTTATTTTAGTGTTGTTTTGCAACTATAAAGACACAACAATAAAAAACAATAATGAACAACAATAAAAAAACAATAACTTATGAAATAAGAAAAAATTGAGAAGTAATAAAATAGTAAACTTTTTATTTAAATTATTGTTAAGTAAAATACTATAACTTTTTATCTATTTTATCGTTTAGTGATTTTTAAAAATGTGTATTATTGTTTAGAAAGTAATAGAAAATGAAATAAAAAATTAATCAAGTATAAAAATTTGTAAATAAAGTAATAAATTAAATTGTAAATAGAATAGTAAATTATTAAAAAAAATTGTAAATACCAAAATAAATCAAATTGAAAAAGAAAAAAAAAAAGGTTGGCAGGCTGGTCTATTAATCTGGCAACTCATTAGTAAATGGGACAGACTTGACTTTTGAACTTAGATGTCTAAATTGATTCACTCCACTTTTGAACGAGCTTAAACGGGTCAAGCCTAAATGGGTAGGTTGCGTGCTTTGTGTTGGTTGTGAATTTCGACACCATGGTTGACTTTGACAGAAGTTAATCTCTGTCGAAGTGGTTCTCATAAGGAGACGTACTTGGATGAAAACTTAGAAACATTTTTTAAGTGTAGAAGGTCACTTTGACGAATAGATGATTTGGACCCTTCCTTAGACAGAAGTTTGAATTTCAAAATACGGATAGATAATTGGCTTTTGTCCTTATCCGTTTCTCAAGAGAGACGCGTGGAGAACTATGGCGAAATGAAGGCATGCAGGACGAAACGTGTCAACTTTTGGAGAAATGCCCGTTGGAGACAGTTATTCGACGTATTATAAATAGGGGTCTTAGTATTAGGATTTATGTGTGTTCAATTGTTGTACTATACTCAAAATTTACTCAAAGTATTAAAGTTAAAGCGAGAAAAGAGTTACTATTGAGAAATGTACGTTGAAACACCATATCTTATTCAATAAAAGTTTATTTTCTTTTATCAATTGCTCTTTACTGCATTTCTTTTACTTTGGAGTTATTTTCTTCATTGCATTTCTTTTATAAACTTTTACAAAGTTTAATCTTTTCAACCAACAATCAAAATAATCTTTTTACACTAATGAATGTTGTCGAAGTGTTCATCAATTTTCCAGAAATACATTAATACAATAGCTATGTCCTCAAGATTCAGTGGTTGATCCTGCAAGTAAACCAAATTTTTAGAAGACCAACAGTTGTTTATCAAATTTCACGGTAACAAATTGGCACACCCGGTGGGATAGTGCTATTGTGTTTGAAAATATTTTTTTCACTTTTTCTGGAAAAGTTTTACTTTTAAGTTCTTCATTTTTATCTCTCCATACTTCGTTGCATGAGACTTAGGAGTGGTTGAATAGCCACAAATAATGAAGAGAGAGAAAAGAGAAGACGCACAAGGAAAATGGTGAATCCAAATCCACCAAATAACCAAAATAATGAAGAATCACCCCTTTTTCCAGCGTCGGTGTCTGAAGTCGTACCTTCTACGGTAAATTTGATGGATGTGCAGTCGATTGCTCAGAGTGGTCCAATTCTATCCTATGTGGGAACACATGGTCCACCAGTGACCCTTCTCCACTAAGAAATAATTTATTTATGCCTTATGTGTTTGGGTTCTCAATGCCTCCAATAGGATGCGAACAACCTTATGGCATGCCAACATCAGTGATGACAAGTTTATATAATGTGTCATCAATGTTCTCAGAACCAGTGGTGAATGTAATTTCGCCATTGTAAGGATCCGCTTCAGGCATTAATAATATGGGTCAAATTAGCCATCCTTTAGGGACAGGATTTCCTACCCAGATGCCCAATATCACTAACAATTCTACAGCAGTGATAAGGCAACAGATGGACGAAAGTAATCATGAGATGGTTCAGATGCTTGCCCAACAAATTGGAGTTATATTCAACCCCTTAATCTAAAATACTACCCAAACTAACCAACAATTGGCAGCATAAATGACGTGCATTGATGATTTCTTTGGTGTTCCACAACCCCCCTCGACAGCCTTAAAGGGAATGGATGGTACCGAATACTAGGGTGATCTTAGAAGAAGACCTTCCTATTAACCAAGTTCAACCAAATATACCTCAGGAAAATGTTTTAAACCAGGGGACAGTAGTGGAACCACCTAGGGTCGAACCTCTTAGAATTGAACAACCAATCCAGGGGGAACCAAAGGTAGTAATGGTAAATAGAAACCAGAACGTTGATGAAGTAATCAATCAAGTTCACGCGAAGATGTAGCGGCGGATAATAACCTAGCAGCCATGGTCGAAAGGATTATGGCCAGAAATGGGGTAAATGTTGGCCTTCATAGGCCAAATTATACGTCACCATTATCTAAGTATATCTTGCAGTCAGATTTTCCCCCTAGATGGAAAGTCCTCAAATTCACTAATTTTCTGGGGATACTAGTGTGTCCACAGTCAAACATGTGGCAAGGTACTTGATAGAGGCTTGAAAAATTGCCAATAATGAAAACCTAAGAGTGAAGTATTTCCTAAGTTCACTCACCAAAGATGCTTTTACTTGGTTTACAACACTGCTAGTGAACTCGATCCACAATTCGACTCAATTGGAGAGACTGTTCCATGAACAATTCTATATGGGACAATCAAAGATAAGCCTGAAATAATTGGCTAGCATTAAGAGGAAGTTCTCTGAGCCAATAGACGATTACCTCAATAGGTTTTGACGGCTTAAGGCAAGGTTCTTTACTCAAGTGCCTGAATATGAGTTGGTCAAAATGGATGGTGGTGGCCTCGACTACTCAATTAGGAAAAAGTTGGATACCTAATACCTGAGAGATATGGCCCAGTTGACTGATAGAGTTCGACAAGTCGAACAACTTAAGGCTGAAAAAGTTAGGGCAAACAAGAATAGACATGAGATGGTATCCTACGTCGAATTTGACGAAGATGAACAGGAAAATAGTGTCGATCCCTTTTTCAACAAAAGTGAAATTGACCTTGTTGAATTAAAGCAAGGCCACCTTACGCCTATAAAGTTTTAACACCGTCGAATGGAAAGAATCCAGTCGATTCAGAGAAGAACGATAGGTTCCCTAAAAACACCTATACCTTCGACGTCACCAAGTGTGACAAAATCTTTGATTTATTAGTCAAAGATAGCCAGATGATAGTGCCTCCTAGTGCTAAAATGTCTCCTTTAGAACATAGAAAAAAGAGAGGTTTTTGTAAGTATCATAATTTTCTTGGCCATAAAACATCTCAATGTTTTCTTTTCAGAGATCTCGTTCAAAAGGCCATAAAGGAAGGAAGACTCAAGTTTGCAGATAAGTCAAAGAACCTGTTAGTGCCATGGTTCTATGATTGTCCATGGTTCTACGATTGGCTAAATTTTGGTAAAACATGATCCTGCACTGATGTTAAGAAAGATATTATAACATCT